CTGGAAGGAGGGGCGAGGCTGCCAGTACCCCTGTTGGCACTGGTCCCCACCTCCTCAGTCAGATCCCACCCTTGACCAAGCTTTTGGGACTGGGGACTCATTCCTGGTCTGGTCTTGCTTTGAAAACAAGAAAGGACAAAGGGAACCCAGCAGTTTTCAGTGAGTTCTGAGCCAGCCCAGCCTCAGACCAGCTGTTGAGACATGCTACGATGTTCATTTTTGTAAAAATAAAGCTTAATTGTTCACAGATTTGGTTTCTCACTGTCTGGGGAGTCCTGGGAGGTCCCAGGGAGAGGGGACAACAGATTCAAATTTGAAGATGTGCATTCTGGGTAAAGGGTTAAGACCAGCCTCTTGGCTCAGTGTCCCAAAGAACAAAGGTTTCTTTTCTTTAAGAAAACCTCTCATTGGCCACCCATCCCTTTGTCCTCCCTGGTGGTGAGGTGGGTGTCACCTGTCGGGGATAGAGAGGGGCCCATGGAAGTGCTCTGGGCTGTCGAGAGCTAAGCTGCTGTCCATCTGCAGTGATCCTTATTCACCCTACCCCAACATGCACACACTCTTCACAAGGCGACCACCCTTATTCTGGCTTTTCACCCACAGTGTCCTCACATCCTGGGCTCTGTTTCTAAGGTTTCCGCATTTTTAAATAGAAACTTCTCCCTTGCCCACCCTTATTTTAGGGGTTTCCTTTGGGCTACTTCTGCAAGCTAAGGTAGCACAAGGCCCCTTCCAGCCTAGTCGTCTTCTGAGTTTATGAAAACAGTTGGGGAAGACCCTGGCTGTGTCCTCCTAGGGTCAGGGTTCCCCTACCCTCTTTGCCATTTAAGGCCCATGCCTCCCTTTATACTAGGGGTCCCCAACCCCTGGGCCCCAGATTGGTACCAGTCCATGGCTTGTTAGGAACTGGGCCACAGAACAGGAGGTGAGTGGCGGGTGAGTGAGTGAAGCTTCATCTATATTTGCAGCTGCTCCCCAGTGCTAGCATCACCGCCTCAGCTCCATCTCAAATCAGGCATTAGATTCTCATACGACCACCCGGTCCCTGGTGCCAGAATGGTTGGGGACCACTTTACACGGAAGGTTTTATGTAGAGGGTCCCTAGGATAGAGAATGAAATGTTGCCACCAGCACCCTCCCCGGGGACAGGAGCATACAGAAGTGGACAAGAGGGCAGTCTACCCACAGTCACTCGGAATGACTTTACTCAGGAGATAAGACCATGATGCAGGGAAGCTAGGAGTAGCCTGAGGGCCAGTTCTTACAGAGCCTGGGAGCTCTTGAAAGAGAAGAGAATGCCCCTGTGCCAGAAAGTCTCGCACGCTGACAGGAGGAGCCTCACCCACTCTCCATGCCAGAGATTCAAGCTCAGGGTCCACTACTGGGTCTTGCAGTCTCCATCACTGCTATGGGCTGTCTTTACCTTCTTCAGCTCTTTCTGCAGTTCTGACTCAGCCACCAGGACCTCCTTTGGCTTCTGGTACTGTAGATGGAGTCAGGAAGAGGACATAAGTCATATACACACCACATCACACCACACCACACCACACACCACACACACCACACCACACACCACACCACACCACACCACACCACACCACACCACACCACACCACACCACACACCACACCACACCACACACACACACACCACACACACACACACACACACACACACCCCTTCTGATCCCTTTATTCAAAGATGAGGAAATTGAAACCTACAGAGTCAAATGATTTGCTCAAGGTCACATGGCTGAGTAGGAGCAGGCCTTGGACCAGAATCCCAGTTCTGGGATTTCCACCCCTCCCTATAATCCTCCTATCCTCTTCCAGCTGTGATTCATAAGATTGGGCCCTGAGTCCCTGCCCTAGTCTCCACATGTGGAAGTAGAGATGGCTATTTTATAGCAAGCACATCCCAGGTGTTAGGGCTGGCACTGGGGACTCCTATGGGCAAGGAAAGAAGGAGCCTCTCCCTGAGGCAGTGGCTAAGAAGTCTAGATGAATCTTACGGAAATGATCAGGGTGCAGTTGGCATGAGCAAAGCTCAGCAAAGAATCATCCAGAGGTAGCTGGTATCTGTCCAGGTCAGGAATGGAGAACTTCTTGTAGTACCTGTGGGGACACAAAGAGGCCATGGGCACACCCAGGACAGTAACCCCAACATCAGGCCCTCTGCCACCAAGCTTCTACATAGTTCTCCCACACCTTCCACACAGCCAGAGAGGAAGAAGGGAAGCCAGTTAGAACAGCAGTATTTTGGAGTTTAGTGGCCCTGGGAATAAAAGAAACAAAAGGCCTTATGGCTAGTCTAGCAGTAAAAGAGCAGGACCAGTCCTGATTCCTTGATTAGACCAGGGGTTGGAGTGACTCATACCTCAGGCTCAGGACTACCAAAGATGTAGAAAGAACCTCCTGGAATACAAAGATAGCTCAAGCAAGCTGGGCCTCCTCTGCACCGCAAGAAAATAATGGAGTTTGTGTGCTAACAAGGGACAGGAAAGGACATCTAGGGCTGTCCTCTGAAGCTGGGAACTGGCCATTACCATTTACATGGGACTTCCACTGAAGGCCTCAGTTACCTTTTCCTCCACTAGAGTCGCTCAAAGCTTTGTTAGCTGACTCTACTTGTAGGCCAGAGTGGGAAGTACATCCACAAGGAGAATGCTTCCTGAGAGGACAAACCAGGTGACTCATCATGAAAGCTGGATCTCTGAGGCTCTGGACTACTTCACTGGCCCTGAGACCCAACTCTTCCATTTTCACACACCACACACAGTCCCTATCATCTGCAGGAGCCAGTCCAGAGATTAATGATCCCTTTTAGTAAAAAACAAACAAACAAACAAAAAACTCCAGACAGCAGCACCCAGCCCATAACGTGTGTAACTGGGCTTTGTTCTGTAGGAAATTTGACCTCCTTTAACAAAAGAAACTGGCTCAGAGAGGTGAAATGTCTTGCCTGGTTTCACAGCCAGTTGTCAGTGGAGTCAGGATTAAAGTTCCTTGCTCCTGGTTTGGTGTTTATCACACCAAAGCACAAAGAATGGCCTACTCATCTCTAGGAATAGGCCTGTTTGACATTTTCCTTGGTGGAAGTATATAGCCTAGGCTCTGGCCCATGGCAGCCAGACCCATCACCCAGGCACAGCATCGCTGTCCATCACTGTTGCTGCCGAGGATGTGTGGGCTGGGAAGGGAAACGCTGCAGGCAGGTACAAACAAACTCAAGTGAGGGGCCTGGAGAGGATGGGGCTTTTAATACTTCAGAGGAGCCTGGTCCTTGTGGTGACAGCTACCCTGAGTCCACTTCAAAAACCCTGATGCCCTGGGGACTCACAGTTGACATCAATGCAGCACTTCTGCCCTGCTCTCTCTGCCCAAATCCCTCAGTTTAGCAGAGGCTCTCAGGGCCCCTCTCTTCCCAGGTTCCCCGCTCCCCACCACAGTGCTGGGACCATGGCAGGGAAAGAATGTTTACTTAAAGGCTGACAGTTCAAAAGGAGAGGGGGCTGGGGGATCCTAATGGCACCACAGGTTTGCTTTATTTTCCAAAGCTCTGCCCCAGGGAAAGGCGATCCATCTGCCTCCGAATGGGGTGGAATGCCGGTCTCATCCTTTTCCTAGCTAGCCCAGGCTGAGGTTTCTTCCTGGGGCCCTTGGTCTGGCTAGCAAAGGTGGCAGACACTGATAATAGGGGAGAGTCAAAGGTTAAACAGCAGAGATTAGATGAACACAAAGGCTTGTTAGGAAGTGTTAACATCTTCCCTGCAAATATACACAAGAAGCAGAACTGGGAGAGAAGCAGCCCAGCCACGCGCAGCCCAAACCCATGAGCCTGTATAAAGGCCTTCCTATTCAGAGCATGGGGACATCCTTTCTGCATGCCTGGCCAGTGTGCCAGGGGTTCAGGAACACACCTATGTACCCTAGGAGAGGCAATGTCAAGAGACATTCCCCAGGCTGGGGCAGTGGGACTGGAAAAAGAATCCTTGGGCCTGGACTCAATGGTGACAACAAGATCAAAGGGAACTTGAGATGTGTGGTTTGCTCCCTTTTCCTATCCTACTCCCACCACCTATCCAATGGAGGCAATGGATCTGGAGGCTCAACTGTGTTTTGATTCTATTCTAATGGATTTAATTTGTTGGTCGAGGTTAATTACTTTTCCTCAGAGGCTCCTGATGGGGCAGTGGCAGGGAGTATGGGGCATCTCTGCTCAGGGAGCAGCCCAGCTTCTTCTCACTCCCATTCCCTCACTTGGGGGTTTGCCCTGAGAGGAACTGCACTTAACTTTCTTACCAGTATCTAGACTAGAGAGGCTCCTACCGTGCTTCTGGAGAAGTCAGGATGCTCAACCTCAGGCAACCCTAGGTAGGCAGGTACATTTCCTAGGTATCAGCTATGTCCTTCCTAGGCCTTGAACTATGAACTGGAGATTCAAGAAGGAAGAAATAAGGCCCTATCCCTGCATGAGAAGACTGACTGCATTGTGTTTCTGCTAAAAGGTAAACTCTTACAGTGGGTATTCCCAGGCTTTTTGCAGATGCCCAGCACGCCACCATTTCCACCTCCCTTCACTGTTATCGGTCTCAGCCACACAAGAGGTGACATTTATTAATGCTTATTCTGTGCCAGACACTGTTCTATACATGCTGAATCCTCAGAAGACCCTCTCAGGTTGGCTACTTCTATTAGCCTCTTTTACAGAAGAAGAAACTGAAAAGGTAGGTATGTTGCCAAAGTCACAAAACTGATAAATGGAGATGCCCTTATTACAAGTGATAACTCCCCAAATCTCCTGACTCATCCATCTTTCCATGTTCTCACCTCAAAACCACCTGGTCTAGGTTCCCCGAATCTGTCCAAGGATGGGGCAGATATGGGGGATGGGCCCACCCTGCAGGTCCCTAGGGTACGCTCTGTAACACATGGTGATCTTCCTTTCTGACTCTCAGAAGTGTTCAAAAGACATATGTGGAAGCAAGGGCTCTCAGGAGGAGCCCTGCCCCAGCAACGTGTACCAAAAGGACAGCTCCCTCATTTTGGCTATTTCAGAAATGACCTACCACACCCCATTACTCTCTTCCCACTGTATCCCGTTCCCAATTCCCAGCTCTTTCCCAACCTATTCTCCCTTGCAGTGAAGTGAGAAAGGGCACAGAGGCCAGGTCTTCAGAGAGAGACTCTGGAGGACAGGCTGAAAGTAGAAGCTGGGCCACTGTGGACAGACACGTGGGCCATGCCCTATACTCCTCTGGGGGTGCCCTACACTACTGCACACAGGGCGAGCCAGAGTGGGCCAAAGAAGCCTCCAGCTGGTCCAGCCCTTAGAAAATCAGTAGGCAAATCTTCTTTCTTAAACATCAAGGCTCTGGGTAAACTGGTCATCCCTGCCTACAGCAGCCCCTCCTAGAGAGTCACGAAGCATATTTACACGCTAAAGGCTCTCAGAAGTCCTATCGAAGAGAAACTTGTTTAATTCGGAGTTTTCTAAACTTATTTGAACACGGAATCCTTTTTTCTAGCGATGCCTATTAACATCTCCCACAGTGTTGGTATCACAGATGTCACACCAGCCCAGCTCTCTTCAGGTTCCAATTTCCAAAGAATTGCTGAGGACCTGCTTCAGGCAGGCCATGGTGCTAGGCATTTATATATATGTGATTTCATCAAATTCCCCGATCTGTGAGGTAGGTATGAGTATTCTCCGGTGATAGATGAGGAAACCTTGCCCCAAATATTACAACTAATACACGGCAGAGGCCAGATTTAAGCTGACATCTTCCCACACCAGCACCCTGGCTCATTGCACTTACAGCTGCCAGCATCGAGGCTGAGGCTAAGAACCTCTTTCTGCATAAATGCTCTTAACTGGAACAGATGGTGCCACACTGGGATCCTGGAAAAGCACTTTCTTCCTTCCCTGATTCAGCCTTCACTAATACCTAAAGCCAAGGACATGATACACTGAAATCGATTCCTTCAAGAAAAGTGGCCAACCTGTTCTTCAGGAACAAGGCAGGTATAGACAAAGGAACTCTGGCTTTTATTAGTAACCACATTCCAGAATATTAGAACCGGGGCAGGCAGAGAACCTCCCGGTGAAGGAAAACGTCAAATCAGAGAACAACGCCACAGTGTGGTGGGAACTGCAGATGCCTGGGCATCACTAACTTTCCCTTCAGCAAGTCAGCTCATCATGCTGACTTTACGTAATCATTAACACTATAACACAATAAAAATATGTACCCTGCCCACCTTTGAATGGCGTGATAATCAGAAAACAGATTTTTAAAGTATCTTGAGAAAGTTAAATACTGCTCAAAGGAATAGCCATTAAGTACTGTCTAATTAGTGGTAGTAAAGGTATAGTACACCTTACTACTCCAGGTAGAAGTTGAAAATGCCACTAGGCTCAGGATTGAGGGTTTAGTGGTCCCTCTCGCCTATCTCCCAGCAGAAGGACCTAAGAAAGGCTGGGCTGAGCCACGCTGGGCCACTGGACCAGAGGCTCAGTGTTGGCTCCAAAGAGGGCACTGATAAACTCCTCTCCCTCCAGCCCTCTCAGAGCACTATTCCCATCCCTCCTGGCCTCACCCATCAGTTCAAAAATGTCTCCCCTCTGCCTTGGGTGCTGAAGTGGGCCTCTAGCCATGGAGCTCCTGGCCAACAGCGCCACCTATGGCTGGATACGTGCAGAGATAGGACCCAGAGGACCTGCCCACAGATGAATTTTTTGGTGAGCTAGCTAGCCTCTCTTTTCTCACTCCTCGGTAATCACATTTCTGCCTGATATCTGTATTCAACAGTGACCTCTGGGGGACAAAAGGGAGGCAGCAGCCAGCTCCACAAACTGCTGGGCTGCAGATCCAAGTGCTATCAGAAGCACTTTTGTTACCAGTTTGGACCCAAGGCCTCGTTCGCCAGGGAATGCTTGCTGAAGCATGGAGTTTGTTTTCCTAAAGGCAATTTCTCCGTTGTCTGAAATTGCTAAATTCCACTTTAGGCAGTGACTCCTGTTAATGATGAGAACAATAACAGGAATAAAGTGCCTTTTGTCTGAGAGCTTCAAAGTGCTTTATAAACGCAAACCCTTATTGTTATGACTTTATATTTATAGACAAGGCCCACTGCAGGGACTACTGGCTGCATGTACAGCAATAATCTTGAAATTAATTCATTCATCTCCTCCCCTTCTCTGTCCCATTAACCCTGCCAAAATGGTGGGGGTGGGGGTCATAAGAGGTGGACAGGACCCAGGGCTGCGCTGGGGGATCCTGGGAGCCACACTGCTTCCTTGTGGACCTGAGGGAGATGTAAGGGGAGCCTGGCACCACACAGCCTGAGAAGATGGACAAAGGGCTGGGTCCTCCTTTTTGCATGTAAACCAGCGGGGGCACCTCTGGACTAAGCTTAGCACCCCATGAGACACGTTAGGAGGCTTCACAGCTTGTGGACCAGTAACTCAAAACCTCCCTTTTCAATACCCCAAATCTATGTCAAAGATCCTACACTGCAATCCCGCTGGTCCATGGCAAGATCGATTCATTACAGGGCTCTTCCTTCTCCTGTCATCAGTCAGAACTCTGGAAACCCAAATGGGATTAATGCATTTCCAAGATGGTCAGCCCAGAAGGAGCCCTGCCAGGATCAAGTCTCTACCTTTGTCACCTTCTGTCCCCTCAACCTTACATTTTGCCTCTCTTCAGCAGATCACAAGATGAGGAGCAAAGGGAAACTAAGTACCCTTTCTGAAACATAATGCAAGAGGCTGCTAAATCACCTGCTCACTGTCTCTAAGTCCAGGGAGGGATCAAGTTTGTTGCTCCCAGGCCAGCATTTGAAAGTCCTATAACTGCCACCTCAGACAGGTGTGCCTTCTAGGCCCTGGCTCCCTGCCAGCTCGAATAGTGATATCACCAGGCCAAGTTCACCATGGACTGGATCCAACCAGAGGTCACAATAACCTTACAGAACCACCTAAGATCACAAGTTAATGGCAAGGTGATTCCTTCATCCCCTCATTCATTCAACAAATATTTTTTGAGCCCTATTATGTGCCAGGTACTGGATCAGACACTCGTTAAAATTTCCCCGCCCTAATGGATCTGATTACATTAACATTTTTCTAGCTGGTCTCACAGGGAGGAAGCCCTTCGGCTTTCAGCGCCTACTGGGGTTTTCCTGCAGCCCTTCTCTCGCCCTCCCTCAGAGCTGGAAGAGGCTTCCCTGCCCACCTCCACCAGCAGTAGAGAGCAGTCTGAGCTCTAACCCCAGGTCAAACCCCACTCCCACCCTGCTCATACACAGGCAGGCTACTGCCCACCACTCTGCTTACTTTTTGTTGCTTGTTCTGATGACTACGCAGCGCTCCTTCTGGTCCACACAGACAGTATAGACGTCTTTAGGGTAGGGGAGGTTTCGAATCCGCCACTGGAAACTCATCTTGGTGTCCTTTCGCATGAAGATGGGCTGCAGAAGGCAAATCCAACTCCAGGACTGTTCTTGGGGAGGAGTAGGAAGAGATGGCTCCCCCTTCAGCAAAGCTCTGCCCGAGGGCACAATAAGAGACCCTCAGCTCTTCTCCTCAGCTCCCACTGATGCTGTTATTGCTGTGACATTCCAGACCTGGAGCCCTTGCCCTGGGATGACCAAACCAAAAACCTTTGGGGGTATTCATTCAGGCAAGCATTTCTAGAGCACTGTGTCCAGCTGGGCACACTAGAGATGAGGAGGAGAACAAAACATGGTCCCTGTCTTCAAGGGCAAGCAGCCCCCTCCCCACTCAGCCCCCCACCCCACCCCAAGGCATCTGACAGACAGACATACATTGGCATTGCTTTCCTTGATGAGTTCAGGCCCCAGGTTCCCTGCTCCATGGGATGCTGGCTCTCCCACCTCAATCTGCCACTGGCCCAAGGCTCCCAGGGCACTTTTTACACGCCACTTTCTCACTGGGGAAAGAAAGAAGCAATGGGATTATGGGGATGAAAGGGGCTTTGCTCTTTTCTGCTGAATCATGGACATCACATGAGGTAAGTGAACAGGATAAAAGTGGGAGCTACAGTCTTTACAATGGGTTTGTCCATCAAGCAGGGACCTCACATCCTCTGAAATCTCAGTAGAGCATTTCGATATTAGACAACCTATAAAGGCCATACTATCAGTGCCCAGACAAAAGGAACTGGAACTCTGCAAAGAGCCAAGTGGAGTTAAGAAACTCCCAGGTGTGGCTTCGAGTAAGGGGAAGATGTGAGGGTTAGGAAACAGATTGCTACTGGTAATTAGGAAAATGTGGATCCCAAAAAGTGTGACTTGGCATGCATTTTTTTCCTTCTAAAAATGAATTTACAAAAGAAAAATGAATTAAGAGGGTCAAAGTTGATAGGCAGATTTGTCTCATCATTCAGAAAGTCCAAATGTAGAAATTCACTCATTTCAGGTAAACCTGGCTTAAAACAACAGCCCCAAAGTTGTATTTAAACAAAATTTTAGGTATACATCATATTTTAAATGCATTATTTATAGATGATCTAATGTGAATTTTTTGTTAAGTGGAATTATCCTTTTATAATGCAAACAACTATATTTTACCTTCTTTTACAATCCAATGTTTGCATAAAACATTTTTTCAAGTAAGGCACATGTTATGAAAATTATAAGTGGAAAAAACTACTTCAATGGACATTATCTGAAAAACCCTTCAGGGGTTTTCGGGAACCCCACTTGGCCATGTCATTGAGACTACTGTATTAGGGCAGCCCATCACTGTGCCGGGGGGGGGGTTCCTCCAAAGCTGTAACCCTCTGTTCCTTTCCCTTTCTGCTACATTGGGGTGTCATCCAGCCGGGGCAGCCCAGGTGCTGCTAAAGGCAGTAGCCTTCCTGAAGCTGTTGTAAGGAGCTAAACAGCTCAAAAAGGGCCAGGGATTCTGCCGCAGCTGTTCCTGTCAGCTCCTTTTTCTGGGCTTGGAGATGAGAGAGCTGCAGTCTGATTCTCCAAATCAGGAGAGCGGGTGGGTTTCTTTGAGACCTTTTGAGCAGCTGTGCCAAACCCAAACACCCTCGCTGCTCTAGGTTAGGTACGCAAGCTGAGCACAAAAGTGTGCTATAAAATTAGAATTTTCCCTTGAACATGTGCCTTTACAAGGTCTGTTGCACTCTGCAGTGTGATTTTATTACGTCTTAGGGCCAAAAATTCTCCCTAGAAACACATTTCCAAGTTTATAATGGAAATTAATATGGAAGAGTAAAACTTGGAAATATGCTTTATAGGCAACTTTTTTTTTCACAAATACTTCTACTCTCTTAAGTGAATGGACTGTGACTGGGAGTATATCCAAATCCATTCATGTAATACAGCTCCTCACTTAACTGGAAGCCAGACTTCTGGGGGCCTCTGTCACAGTCACAAACTCAGAAGTGACAAATGCCTCCAAGCAGTGGCTTATGGTGACAAAACCTATGCACCTCACTCTATATTGTAGGAAAGATCACACCTAGATTCTCACATAGACTATTTATAAAAGGCTACATGCAGAATAAGGCAGGAAATTGTTTTCCCAGGTATACTGGCAACAGCATGAGGGGAGAGCCTACGTGGGAGGGCAGTGTCAGCACTACAAAGTGCATGGGACCATTTAGTGTGAGGGCAAACAAGCACTCTTAGACCCTGAGAGGATCACTATATAATGTAACACAATTATCACAGATCTTAAAGGTGGAGGTTATCTTAGAAAACATCTAGTCCAATGCCTGTGTTTTTTAATAGGAAATAGTTCTTCCTCGGCCACTATTCTCCAAGGGGGCAGAGTATGAAGAATTACCAGGGCTCTGAGAGATAAACTAACTTGAAAAAGCCACAGCTAAAATTCAGGTCTCCTAACTCCAAGTCCAGAATTTGAATCATCAATAAAAGACTAAATTATATTCTATAAATGTTCAATAAACATATATGATATTTACAAAGGTTTCCTTTTTTTTTTTTTTTCTTCTTAAGTAGCTCTACTCTTTTTAAAAATATTTTAGCCTTTAGAGGAAAGGCTTTAATTATCTGAAAATGTAATTTACGAGGAGTACCTAACTATCTGGGGCTGGAGAAGTGATGTACTCCTGTAATCATGGGCCTTGTTAGATCATACGTCCTAAAGCACCATACCAGTGTGGCCAGGAAAGGCAATTCGACTCCAGAATTCCCTGTCAACTCTTTTATTCCAAGGAATGTTGGGTTTTGCAGAGAAGCCTTCCTAGGGAGTACACTTAGGAGGAGGGAAGTCAGCTACTCATTTCTTTACACTGACCTTAAAAAGCCACTCAGGTCACAGAAACTTGGTACTCTTGGTTTCACCATTTTTTTCCCCCTTTTTAACACCTTGGGATTAAATTCTTTGTTAGAACCAGAAGAAAGTCTCCCTATTCATTCTCTTATGAGATCCAATAAATTATTTTGGTGAAGTCCTTGTTGTTTTTTTCCCCATGGACATGGGCATGAATGCACATGTGCAAATCCACACTTTGTCTTGTCTTTCTTGTCCTGTCTTTGTTCTTGAACTCAAGGACAGCTCCTGCGGCAACAAAAGAGTGTTTCCACCTGCTGTCACTCTGATTTGATTGTGTGTTAAACCCAAACTGGTGTGTGCAAGGCACCTCCCTGGGATGCTGTGATATCTTCCCAGCTGAGCCAGGGTCAGTCCTTGGAAAGGAGACTTTTGATGACCCTGGAAAGGGTCTGATGGGGACTATATGAAGGAGGCAGTGCCTGCGGGCTTTTTCCTAAGTCAATAGAAAGCAGGCTGATGTTCCAGACTGCTGAAAGGAGGCCCCATCTTTCAGGTGGGCTGGAAAGTGGAGGTCCTAAAGGCCTCTTTCCCCAAAGCTCCAAGCCCTGGCCCACTTCCAATGTGGATAATTACATTCTCCTTCCCTAAATACTCCCTGCAGCTTAAATTGGATGCAGGATTCTTCTTTTCTGCCCTAAAACACTGCAACATTGCTATGTGGCTATTAAACAGCTGCCACGTCCCATCCCTGAGGAGGCTGAAGGGAATCGAGTGGGTCATTTATAAAGCCGGTGAAGTGCTTGGGGATGAAAGTGCTCAATATCCTCCAAATGCAGCCTGGGGTGGTTAGGCTGGCGGTCAAATACCAAAGCAGATTAAGCCAGTAATCCGAATGTAATCGCTAGGGGATGGCCTGCCCTTCAGCCTCTGCACCCTGGACATGCTGTGTTCTTCTGGGGCTGGTTTGATGTTCCGATCATTGTTATGGGGCCCTTCAGTTTTTTCCTCTATGAATACATACAGCATTCATTGTGGGGGGTGGGAATGAATAGCACTGAGAGGGAAGAAAAAAATATGACACTACTGTTTATTAAAACTGCCTGGAAGAACTCTGTCTTAGATGCACTATTGGCAATTCTTCCTCTGTAAATTACTTTCTGGGTTTTTCTAAGAGAAAATCAGTTTGGCCAATTGTCAAATTTATATAATTAGCTAGAAAAATGGAAGCTACTCCCATTTACAGCAACTAAAACCCTGTCTATATTTTACTTCATAGAATGAACAAATAGAAATCAGTTCAGGCCCTGAATTATTTATATTTAAAAGTTAATAATGAGACAGTTCTGGTCAAGATGGTGGAGTAGGTAAATGCTGTCTGTGCTCACCTTCTTCCAGGACCACATCAAAATTACAACTAACCTACGGAACAACCATCTTGATGTCTAGCTAAACAGAAGTCCTATAATTAAGGATATGCAGAAAAAGCCACACTGAGACTGCTAGGAGGGGCTAAGACACAAAATGGGCTGGCTCCACACCCATGTGAGATGAATAAATCAGAAAAGATAATTGGCTGCGGAGGTCTTCCCTAGGAGCGAAGGGTCCCGGCCGCACACCAGGCCTTTCAGCCCTGGGTTCTACTGCCAGGAAGAGAAATCCTCATAACTTCTGGCTGTGAAAACCAGTGAAATTTGTGGTTGAGTTAGATGAAGGGCTGCTGGAGTCCCAGGTGCTCCTCTAAAGGGGGTCATGCATGGACTTACTCACTGATGAAGTCACTAGTCTGAGCTCCAGCAGCTCAAAAGGCGCCAGAGACATATAGGGAGGAACTGAACTATCAACTGTCTGGCTTCAGGAAGAGGGCTGGAGGCGCAGCTTTCTCCCTGATAGAAGTGCTAGAAGAGAGCATTGTTCCTTTGTTCAGGCCTCCCCTGACCCAGAATGTAGATGCAGAGAGCCCCTATATCTGAGTCTCCATCAACCTGGCTAACATGGTTTGCCCTACTTTGGTGATTCCCTGAGACCCTGTCCCACCCAATTTGTGTGCCCAACCAAGCCACTTCTAGTGTCTTTTCCATGCAAATGGCCTGTCTTAGCTCATACTCTGGACTTTCCTAAAATCTCTCAAAGGTTCACAAACCTCAAATAAGCAGCACTTGACCTTGGCATGCCCCGTACTGCTTGCTAAGCAGCCACAGGCCTCGCACTAGTGGCAGCCTGCCTCAGTTCACAGCTTAGCCTCTCCCAGGCACCTCTAAGCCCAGCACAAGTGGAAGACATCTGTAGATCACTTTGTAGCTCATACCAAGTGCCCATGGACAGGGCAGAGGCAGTAGATGACTTTGGCCTGCACCAGAGCCTCTCCCAATAGGCCCCAGAACCAACACACCAACAAAGAGATAAAAAGCATAAAAGTGTAAATAGAAACCATAAAAAAGAACCAGTCAGAAATGAAGAATACAATAACTGAAATGAAGAATACATTAGAGGGAATCAACAGTAGATTAGATGAAGCAGAGGATCGAATCAGCGATTAGAAGATAAGGTAGCAGAAAACACCCATTCTGAACAGCAGCAAGAAAAAAGAACCCTAAAAGATGAGGTTAGTTTAAGCGGCCTCTGGGACAACATCAAGAGTACCAACATTCACATCATAGGGGTACCAGAAGGAGAAGAGAGACAGCAGGGAATTAAAAACCTATTTGAAGAAATGATGACAGAAAACCTCCCTAACCTGGTAAAGGAAATAGACATACAAGCCAGGAAAGCACAGAGTCCCAAAGCAGATGAACCCAAAGAAGCCCATACCAAAACACCACATAATTCAAATGCCAAAGGTTAAAGACAAAGAGAGAATCTTAAAAGCAGCAAGAGAAAAGCAGTTAGTTACCTACAAGGGAACTCTCATAAGACTGTCAGCTGATTTTTCAACAAAAACTTTGCAGGCCAGAAGAGACTGGCACAAAACATTCAAAGCCATGAAAAGCAAAGACCTATGACCAAGATTCTTTTACCCAGCAAAATGATCATTTAGAATTGAAGGACAGATAAAGAAAGAGCTTCCCAGACAAGAAAAAGCGAAAGGAGTTCATCACTGCCAAACCGGTATTACAAGAAATGTTAAAGGGACTTATTTGAGAAGAAAAAAAGGATAAAAAATATGAATAAAATGGCAATAAGTACATATCTATCAACAATTACTTTAAATGTAAAGGAATTAAATGCTCAAATCAAAAGACACAGTTTGGCTAAATGGATAAGAAAACAAGGCCCCTACACATGCCACCTACAAGAGACTCATTTCAGATCAAAAGACACGCAAAGAATGAAAGCAAAGGGGTGGAAAAAGATATTTCATAAAAATGGAAACAACAATAACAAAAAGCTGGGGTAGCAATACTTATACCAGACATAATAGACTTTAAAACAAAGGCTATAACAAGAGACAAAGAGGGACTCAGTAATCTCACTTCTGGGTATTTATTTGAAAAAGCCGAAAACACTAATTCAAAAAGACATCCATCCATATGTTTATTGCAGCATTTTTTACAATAGCCACGATACGGAAGCAACCTTAGCATCCACCAATAGGCAATTAGATAAAGACGATATGGTACACAATACAATGGAATATTACTCAGCCACAGAAAAGAATAAAATCTTGCCATCTGCAATAACATGGATGGACCTAGAGGGTATTATGCTGAGTGAAATAAGTCAGACAGAGAAAGACAAATACCACATGATTTTACTTGCATGTGGAATCTAAAAAACAAAACAAATGAACAAACAAAACAGAAATAAACTCATAGATACAGAGAACATTTTGATGGTTCCCAGGTGGGAGGGGCATTGGGGGGATGGGTGAAAAAGGGGAAGGGATTAAGAAGTACAAATTGGTAGTTGCAAACAGTCATGGGGATGTAAAGTACAGCATAGGGAATACTGTCAATAATATTGTAATAACTATGTATGGTGTCAGATGGGTACTAGATTTATTGGGGTGATTTATTCTTATTTGCTAGATTTATTCTTAAGTTTTATAAATATCTAATCACTATGTTGTATACCTGATTGTATACAAATTAATATAATATTGTCAACTGTAACTGAAAAATAAGACATTAAAAGAAAACAAGAAAAGTTCATAATGAACACTATTTTGCAAGGGCAGCTCGTGGGAGTGGGGTGTGGTGGTTAAAATGGGTAAGAAAAGAGTCATCTGTTCAAAGGGCCTGGTAGTTCAAGTGGGGTGTTCCTCTCTGCCCATCCCTGGCCTGCTCCCACCAGCCCCTAACTCAGGTCATTCTGGGAAGAGCAAAATTTAGAGAGAAGAAAAGAAAGCAGGAATAAACATTCTCAACTCCCAACAACATGTTGTTGTGGATGAAAGCATAGGTTCTTAATCAGACAGACTTAGGTTTCAATCCTAGCTCAGAAACTAACCAGCTATGTGGTTCTGAATAAGGTACTTAACTTCTTGGAGCTTCCAGGGTTGTTTGTTTATTTCTTTGCTTTAACTGTAAAATGGGAACAATACTACCTACCTTATAGGATCATGATGAGTATGATTAAATGAGATAATTCAGATAAAGCACTTAAGATAGTGCCCAATTAAAGTTACAGTATAAATATAATTATTAGGTCAACTTTAGCCAAACAATGTTCTCCTATGAACTATTCCCCACCTGCCAAGAGAAGTAACAGGTTAATGTGGGATGCTACAAATGAAGGAACTTGGACTTTTTCATTTTAATTTCATGTCCAAGCACAGCTAAGAGTCCTGGGCTTTGTTTGTGTTTATAGTTGCGACAGCTATAGCTGTTTGATTTGCTCTGTGTGGAAAAGAGAGGTGATGCTGGGGGCTGGGGGAGAGGAGCTGCAGCTAGTCTCTAGCCTGGTGATGGTGGTGGTTAGCCCACGTGACCTCTGCTTTCATAAGCTTGCCCCTGTTAGGCATTCCAAGGCTGTCACCCCCTGGGAGTGCTATAAATTACAGTGCATTGTGAGGATATTACTACTGTATTGGTTTCCACCAAATCAGTGTCATATGCTAAACACATCAAGATTTTTAATAGCACCAGACTAAACCAATTGGGACTGGAGCCCAAGCAGCTCATAATAAGGAGGGATCAACACTTCACTCTGTGACTGAACATGCGCAGGACACACATTTTAAGACTGGAGACTAAGAGAATGCAAACCAGTGTAATCCGTGTTGTCGGTTCCAGACATTTATGAGCTGTCAGAAAAAAGGAAAAAGAAATTCCCTCACCAATACTACCTGTCGATCAGACCCAGGAACAAATTAAAGTTAAGAATAATGGCAAGAAAATAACCCAGTCCATGATTCCATCATTGGTCTTAGCATTTTAGGTAGAACTTAATAAAGAGATCAACTCCCATTGCTGACAGCCTCAAGCCCTGGGTCAGAGAATGAGCCACCTAGTTCTGGGAAGTCAGTTAATGCTGATGTGCAGACCTGGGAACAGAAAATGGACAAATCAAAGAATTCCCAGAAATCCAAGCTAGGGCCTGTTTGGTGGTACTCCGTCAAGCCTCAGGCTAGGAGTGTTGCCCCCAAGTGTTCCTAAGGGCCTCCTGGGAGTCCCTGTCACTTACCAAGTAGTTCACTCGTCTCGTCTTCATATTCTTCAGCCATTTCCTTCCCATCTGGAAACAAATAGTGCACCTTTCTTCTCCCTATGCACAAAGCAGAGAGTGCCTTACCCGCAAGCCTCCTCTTGCTTTGCAACCCTGCAGATCAAGGGGTCTACATGGAAAATACCAATAGTCTTGAGTGTATTGAGAAACCCTCCCAGAGTCTCCCAACTACTTGCCCACCATTTCTTTAAGATATGTTGTGGGCCTCACT